CCCATCTATATCATACACACCCCGGGTAAAATTGCCAATACAATTTATATTTATAAGTAAATACTATGTTTTTAAAGACAAATAACAAACAAAAAAATTATTCATGAATAATGTAAACAATTTAATTAGAAGCATCTTTCACTTCTTTGTCACTTCTAAAAGAGTTTAATAAACTGACAGTTTACAGAGATGCTTGTGATGTAATTTTATTAGATTTTTTTTTTAATCAGACTTTGCAAAGTATGAGGAAAACACATTCTGAACTTATGGAATATACTTCTGGAAAAAAAAAAATGTGTTCCTTTAATTTTTGACATGTTCTGGTACCTGTGATGAACGTATGTCTCTGTGAGAGTTGCATAATTAATTATAAAACAAAATACATCCGTGTCTACTTAAGGTAGGCGGAAAGCGAGTTACCAATTTTCTAATACTTGGAAGGTAGCAGCAAGAGTTATTTGGTCATTTTTTCCCTTCTCAGTATTTACGTAAAACACTTCTGTTATTATGACAGCTAGTTTCTGACATGTACAATAAACTCCTCCCACATCACTGAATTATGATCCCGGGTTAATCTTTGGCTGACAGTTTACGGCTCTGTTTACTACTTAGACCACATCTCAAACTGGACTAAAATATTTGAACGACGCGTATAAAAGAAACATTTTTGGAGTAATACAGTTTGTAGCTCTATTCACGTCTATTACTGTTTAGTGTTTTTTTTTTATTAGTCACCAGTAGGTGGCGACAGCCCCCACTCTTAGACCGGTGCCAACAGGAAGTCAACATTTCGAGGAAACCAGCGTAAGCTGTCTTTTGTTTTGTTTTGTGTTTCTTTTTCCGTACCAAAGTAACCGTATATTTTTATTAGCGTATTTGTCTATAACGCGTGTTTAACTTGTATTCTACATTGTTTTTTGTGTGTTAGGTTTATTCTTGTTCAGGGAGTCGGTTGTTTTTTGACGTTGACAGGGTGTTAGCTTATCAGGCTAATAGGAAAGCTAACAGGCCAGGAAACCATCTGTTCATTGTCTGCTCTTGTGGCAAATACTGGCTTTATCGATCATCTCCGCTTTTCTTCTGACATATTGTGTATATCTGATCGGAAAAGAGTCCAGCGTCGCTGTCATCCCTGTATCGCCCAGGTATCCTCATCTGTCCCGGGTTCAAGGCCTTGAGCTGCTCTATCACTGATCTCTAATCTACAAAAGGAAGAGTATAAATAAGGAGTAACTGACTCTTAAAACAACGCCAAGTGTTAAGGAGAAGTTGTAATTATGTATGCTCCACCTGGTTCCACTCTCCCCGGAGGTCGAAGAAGGAGAGCGGGCACTTCCCTGCCCAAGCAGCCGGAGCGCAGCCTGGTGTCGGCTCTGCCCGGGGCTCTCTCCATCACAGCGCTGTGTACGGCTCTAGCTGAGCCGGCCTGGCTAAGAGTTCACGGTGGGGCCTGTCCCAGACAGGAGCTCGGAGTAGCTGATGTCCTGGGGTACATCGATCCCAAACTTCTGGAGGGTGAGAAAAATCACATACCTTTGACTGCTTGCCCAAACTGTTAATCTAGTGGTTTATTTGTAATTTGATGTCTTCCTCTATTTCCTCAGATTACTGTGTTAACCCACAAACCATCCTGCTGCTGAGGGTCATTGCTGCCTTCTGTTTCCTTGGCATATTATGTAGTCTAACCGCTTTTCTGTTGGATGTGTTTGGACCCAAACATCCTGCACTAAAAATCACACGCAGATATGCTTTTGCACATATATTAACAGGTAAAGATCCCTCTTACTGGAGTTTTTTTCTTTATAAAGGTCACGTTTTTTAGATAAACATATAATTTAGAATCAGAATCGGGTTTATTGCCATTGTTAGTGAAGGAGTTCACAACTAGGAATTTTTTATGGTACAATCGTGCAACATGAAACATATATGAAATAGGTAAATAAAATTATTAAAATGTCTAAAAACACTGGGGCATGCAAAAAATATACTAATATATATTTAAAGGTTTGTCATTTTCAGAAATGTCAAATCTAAACCTTTCTTAGAGGGGCTGAGTGTAGCAGTCTAGCCAGACTTTATTCAGATGACGCACTCAACTGATGGACTATGGTGGGGTATTCCAACCCATTTATTTATCAGAAATGAAAATACACCATAGACACACAGTAAGAGCTGTAGATAAACAAAAACAAAATTACTCCACTCAACATAGGATGAATACCATTAGCTACCATTAGCTTATTCAACTTCTTTTTGATATATAAACTCTAAATAAACGTAGTTATTATACACATGAAACTACACAACAAAGCAAATTATACCTATAAATTATACAATATGTACTTTTAATCTTATCATTATATTGAGTGATATTATTGTGATGACATTAAAAGTTAAAATTAACAAGAACCCATTACTTTTTCACACTGTTTCTTGGGTAATTGTATGGCTGTGACTCTTAAAACACCAATTAAGAAGAGAAGTATAATTTATTTAGCTAAAAATCTAATAGTAACTGCATTTAATCATATTGTTCTTCACTTTCTCAGTGTCCAAAGGAAAAACATGTTAGAAAAAGAAAAACTAAATTTCTAACAATTTGCCTAGTGTCAGGAGTTTTATGATAGTGAATTCTAATTTATCATTTAAATGATAAATAAAAATTGTTATCATGACTGGAAACTTGTCACATTAACAGTAAATGCCCGCCGCTATTTAATAGTAAAAATCATAATAATGCTCTGTTTACTTATGTAGAACATTTGTTTAAATGTCTGTAGTTTATATTTTTTTAAAAACATATTTAGAAATGTAGGTATATTGCAAACTTGTAACAACATTTTATAATGGTACCTGATACATGCCACGTTAGGGACTCAATTGCAACGGAATTAAGAGCTTGCCAAAGGTTCCTAGGTCCAGACTGAATGTGTAAAAAGTGGTGCAGAGGAAATGCACATACTACCTGGCTGTGGTGGTAATACAAAGGTTTGTTTTGCATATTTGGAACAATGGGTATCCAGGAGTTTATGAAAAACACATTGCCAAAGCACTTAAGCAAAACAAAGGTTAAATACAGATGTTTACATTTTGTGCCAACTTACCAAGTAAACAAAGAATTTAAAACGTAAGCAAAGGGCACTTACAAAGAAATCATCAGCTGATTTGTGTTGATTAAACTTAATAAAATATAAGTTTAACTAACCTAAATTGTCTCTCTTCAGTTTTGCAGTGTGCCACAGTAATTGGGTTCTGCTACTGGGCCTCGGAACTGATCTTGTCACTTCAGCAGCAGCACAAAAAATACCACGGCTCTCTCATATACGTCACTTTTGCCATCAGCTTCTACCTGGTGGCAGGTGCAGGTGGCGCATCCATCCTCGCCACTGCCGCAAACCTCCTCCGCCACTACCCCACCGAGGAAGAGGAGCAGGCCCTAGAGCTGCTCTCAGAGATGGAGGACAGCAGCGAGACTTTTCCTGCCGATTATGACATTGCCAATCAGTTTCAGCCGCCACCCGCCTACACGCCCTAATCCAACCAAGCTGGCCTTGCAAACATCTATATCTCTGAGCACAGCTATGTGCTTGATGTGCAAACTACGCTCAATTTATCAAATGGATACCTTTGCAAATACTCTTGGCAATGAAAGAAATGTGTGCACAAATTAGTGCGTTGATTCCTTGAAAGACGGTGGCTTGGGTGCATGAAAGCTTTCTTTAGTGGTGGCATCAATTTAAGACTTAATTCTTACTTAATTCTCACTGCTAAGGTGGTTAGTGGTTTGCATGTAAATGGCTTTTAGGATCTGGTCCTTACATGTAAAGATAAAGTCATCTGCAAAATAAGCACCAAACGGCGCTCATCACGAGAAACGGAATAAGCAGCTGCAACGCTGTTGTTGAATGTTGTCATCAGCCATAGCTATGATTGGACTTGGATGGAGCCTTGCTAAACAGCATTGTGATTTCATTTGATACACTTGTCATGTTTGTATGTTTTTCTTGATGCTGCATAGTTGCAGAAACACATCAACACTGACAAGATTGTTTTAAACATGTATTTTATACAACAATGGACCTTATTTATTCTGTGTGCTGTCTTTTTTTTTCTTTTTTCTTTTGCTTTATTATTCACTACTTTCATCCCTTATTTCACCTTCGTGCTAGAAATAACAGAAGCATTTACAAAATCGCAAGGCAAGACTTTTTAGTGTTTTTAAAAAACACGGTTGGATTTTAGATGCAGAGAAAGCGTTGTTCAACAGCAAACCTCACAGCATAAATGTTAATTATGTCACCTTTGTTGTGTTTGAATTTTAAAAAAAAGAATTTGTTTATGCTCTGTGAATACCATGTGTGACCACTTTGATAAGTTTTTCCATGCCTACGCTCTGCTGATCTCAGATTTTGGAGCATGGTCAGAACCTCATGGATGTTCCACACAAGGTTCCTGCTGATGTTTGAGTTTGTGACTGATGTAGTGATTGCACATTTGTTTGGTTTCTGCATTTTGTTCTTCACTGTATTTTCTTCACCTTTATGTAAATATTGATTGTTTATACATAAAGTGGCCATTATAACAATGTCATATTTGCCTTCTATTCATCTGTAGATCGACAAATTGTTCTTTTTTTTTGTGAATCTTCACTGTGAGTTGTCTCCCACTACAGGTGCATCTCAATAAATTAAAGTATCATCTAAAGGTTCTCTGTGATTCAGTTTAAAATGCAAATATATGTGTAATTATATATATATATATATATATATATATATATATATATAATTTATATATACATGTGTGTGTTTTGCAGAGCACAGGGATGAAACAAAAAAAGGGTAATAGTTCTCTGCTTAATTCATTAAATAACCCAGTCACTGGTTATCTAGCAGATGGAAATTAATCTCATCTCATGACTGCAGACAAAAGTGCAGTTTGATTTTTCACTAACTGAAATTGTAAAGTTAAAAAAGGAAATTGGTTACACTAGTTACAGTTTCTGTACCAATGCATGATCATATGAAATTAATTTAGAACTATATCTTTATTGCAGGGTCCAGGACCAGCTGTACAGGGACACTGGCCCCTCTTGGCCCCTGTCTGGACTCTAAAACCACCTTTGACTGCTTGCCCAAACCAAACGGGTAGAAGCAGCTCATTATTTTTATGCTCCACTAACCTGAAACAAACTCCCAGGAAACTGTCAAAGTGCCGAAACCCTCAACTGCTTTAAATCAGGAATAAAAGCTGAATTGTTAGGAGTGGCCTTGGACTTTGCTATTGAAACATAAGTTTGCAGTCCAACTTTCTTTTCATGTTCTCAGCACTACACTAATTATTTTTTATGAAATATATAATAATCTTATTTTAACAATGATTTTTTTTTGTCCTCTTTAATTATAAATGTTCCTTTTAATTGTGTTGCCACTGAAACATGCTATATAAACAAAAAATAACTTGCCTTTAGCCTTTTTCCCAACATGCATCTGTTTATATTGTACAGGTATAGTAGCTCTTGATGTGCTAACTCTACCACTAAAATGGCTTTGCTTCACTGCAATATTATCCCAGTAGGTGCAAACTTATCTGCTGTATTTTTTCCTTCCACTTAACTTTCTATGATCAGGTCAGGATACAGCAATCATTGAACAGCCAACCTCTTTTGCTAGATCCTTTTGTGCCTTACCCTCTTATGGAGTGGGTCTGACACATCAAGTGTTAATTCTTTAACCTTTCCTATTAAATATGTCACAACTTTTTTGAGTGAAAAATATTTGTGCTGATAATTTTTTAAATTCTAACTTTTTTATATATTTTTTTATTTAAGCTGCAATCCTCAAAAATAACACTAAAAAACACTCATAATATATCTGTGTGTGAGATACAGCTGCTATTTTCACTCTGACAGAGACTTTTCCACCTGTTGAAGGTATTTCTGGGTTTACCGTCTAGACAAAACACAGCATTATAAAGAGTAAGAGCCTTACATCCTAATGGACTTTACAGGGCAAATTGTCTCCCACTGCAAAGTTGAGTTGCAAACTGTTTCCTAATAAATGCACCGTATCAAGTGCCAAACTCTTAGTGGGTTAAGATATTAGCTAGAGCTAAGGTTTCACTCCGTGGCTAAATACCTTAAGTTAATCAGAAGAATTAACAAGGTATTAATAGGGAGGGGTGTTCTGGAAAGAAGAAGTCTCGTCGTGAAAAGGCAATGGAGCTCAGATTACGCATTCACGTCACCTGGCCCCACACTGCTAGTATATATACTGAGATCTTCTGTGAGATCAATATCTGTCCACTTTACAGGCTCTGTGGCAATCTGTTAATCTGGTATTTTCCCTCAGAATCACTGAGAACAAAGCTAATCATGCTGGCGACCAGGACCTTGCTGTCACAACAGACCGTGGCTGTTCTTTCTCGTCAGCCTGCCTGCTTCGTTCATCATGGAGATTATGGCAACTGGGGAAACACCAATGTTGCACTGGTAAGATTATCTAATTATTATGCAATGGGTGAGTAGAAATGTACCAATTCAGAGTCAATACCTTCCAGGTTTTCTCAGGATGTGGATGGTGGGACGGAACTGATGTGCACGAAGGAGTGTAGTAAGTATCCAGAGATCAGGAAATTCACATCATGGCATGCACTTCAGGCAATGCAGACATGTTGGCTATAAACTCCTGTCTGCAGCACCATGTACCACCTGAGCAGGAACGGCGCTCGCTTCCAGATGTTTGCACCAAATCAGCAGCAAATGCATGTGATGGATCATATGAAGAAGCAGCCTATCTCAGGAGATAACCGGTAGGAGCCACACAGACTAAAGGCACAGGTAACCGTTTGACTTGACAGTCCACAAGGTAGTATTTTTGATTATTTCTGGCAATTATACAGGAACATGATGATGGAGTCAGCTCGCTTCCATCATGGTCAGGTAAAGAGGCAAATGCAGGACTTGTCCTCTCTGGATGTCAACAACTTTGATGCTGTCATCTTTCCTGGAGGCCATGGGATCGTCAAGAATCTGTGAGGAGTCACTTTCAAGCTGGGCTGTGCAAACAATATTAATATTAGGTACAAGGTAGTTTGCTTACAGTTGGATTACTAATGCAAGTGTAAAAATCTTTATTCTACTTTTAGATCCTCCTTCATGAAGGATGGCAAAGACTGCAAGTTGCATAATGATGTGGAAAGGGTGCTTAAAGAGTTCCACCATTCAAGTAAGCCTATTGGGTATGTATACTTTGATCTTTTTCATAGTCCGTACTTAGGTGGATTGAGTTTCTATTAGAGGTACTAAATAGCATCAAGCATGAGGCTGAATTGAAGAATGTCAGGGACAATTAGCCTCTATTTTAGTTAAACGCAGCTATTTACATAAACAGAAGCTTTAAACAGCCCTGTAATGGAATTAGGACACTATAAGGAGTCACACAAACTGATGACAGTGATTTTTAGTCAGGCAAATAAAAAACAAAGAGAGACAACTTTACTGATGATTCTGGTGGCCATGCTATGATCTCTTCTGACATGTTCTTATAGCCTTTGATTGTCCATTTTGGGTAGAAATGTTGCCTCTTTCCACAATCTCTCCTAAAGTTCGTTAAGCCAATTAACAAGGCTTAGTTCGGAACAATAAAGCCTAAAGCTTCTAAGTAGTCTTTTGTTTACAGATATAAATCTGATCTCTATTCACGAGTTTTTGAAAGGAAAAAAAATTTTGGTACAATTTAAAATGTATTTCATGAACAGTTTTAAAATGGGGTTTTCTTGTAATCTTATTTTTAAGAACCTTTTAGTTGAGAGTTTTTAACATTGTCTCTCTGGAGACAGGGCAGCGAGTCCAATGCCGTAAAAATAGACTTCTCGCTCCTAAGCCTAAACTAGACAACGTGAAAGGAGGCAAATCCTTTGATGCGGAGAGGACACAACAAAGGTTCTAACACAAAGGCTTCAACTAATGCGACATGTTAAAAACAACAGATCCTGTCCGGAGTGATGAGGTGACGGGCAGACGTCTGGGATGAGGTTGGGTGAAAGGGCACTGGGTGGCATGTGAGGAGTGGAGAGGATTACAGGAATTATTGGAAAGGGTGAAGGAGGATGCGAAGGAGGAGCAGGTAAAAAGGCCTCCACCATGATGACAGAAGGTTAAAGAGTTTGTTGAGCCCCAAAGGGTAATCCCTCCCTATTAATGCCCTGAAAGAATTGGATCCAATGAGGTTTCTTTTTTCAACAAGTTAGGCTCTTTGATAGTTACAATCACAGTTCCAGCAAGTTTGGCATTGCTGTCATAAGGATTTTTTTCCTTTTGCAGAAAAAATCCTGGTGAGGTTCAAAAGCAAATCATTGCTCATTTTGCTTTTTAAGAGCTACAAATGTCATGCAATTGAAAACTGACAAGTGGTCAGAATTTAAAGCATGATAGAATTATTTGGTTTATCTCTTTAACACCTGAACAATTGTCAGTCTACTCACAGAAGAAAATTGTGTGAAAAATCAACTGGTTCTTGGTGACTGCTTTAAAAACAATCTGCAAACAGGAGAGTTGTTGCTGGGTGGTGAGGAAGAAGGGATCAGTTTGCTTCCTGATGCATTATCTCAAGTGATTAAAAAGAAGCCAGCTGGACTTTAACCATCTAATGAGGCTTAGGAGGCTTTTGTCGTTGATGACTGAGAATCTATACAGAGGTGTAGACCAGAAATTCAGCCCTCAAAGGAGCTGCTATCCTGCAACATTTAGATCCATCTGCCTCAAGAGCAAAATTAAAAGGCTGAATTCCCTTCTCATTAGCCATTAAGTTCTGCAGGAGCTTGGTAATAAGCCTTTCTATATTTTAAGGTATGTTGAAGGAAAGAAGGGCTGGATTTAAAGGTTGCAGGATAGTAGCTCTCAAGACCTAGACTTGGTCCCTCCTGGTTAAACTTTACACTGCAAAAACGATCTAGAAATCAGTAAAAATGTATTACATTAAGTGTATTTACCATTAATTTGAGTAGTCAAATAAGATAATTTGCCAATGGAATGAGTATTTTTACATTTAAAATAAAATAATTAGATAATGTGCACTTAAAATAAGACAAGGCAATTGTTTTTTTTTTTCTTATTTTAAATGTAAATTGTCTTCTTCCATTGGCAAAGTGTCTATTTAGATTGAATTTTTTTGCAGTGTAGACTCAATTCAATACTTTTTTTTTTTTATCCTAAAGGGAAATTAAATGTTGCAGCTGATGTTCTAGGGTTTCTTTAAAACATTTAAGTAGATGCTGATATTTATAGATAGAAAGGATTTTCAGAGGAGGAGGAGGGTTCTAGTTTAAGGTGGGTAAATGAAGGAAATTTAGGACTTCAGGAAAAACTAGGAAGAGCAGAGCTGGATGCAGAAGAGACGAAAAAGAAATGGTCACCATAACAACGGTTGCTGAACTCTATCCTTCTTCTATTTTACAGTTGAAAAAAAAAAAATTATTATTATTATATTAATTATAAACACAATGTAAGGTAGATTACTATATATTTCCACAAAAACAATGGCTGCCGAAACAAACAAAAAAAATGTGTTTGTTTTTGTGGAAATGGGTACCTTAAAGTCTGACAGTAATCTTTAATGCAGGTACAGAGAGCATTTTCATAAACTTTATCTGGGTACTATATATGTTCAGCTCATTGAATCACTGCACCAGTGAAACATTTACATCCACTTATGGTTGGCCTGAATACTATGTAAATTGTCATTGTTTTAGATTGGTATAATGATCAAATATATAACTTCTATCAATATTTTAAAATATTAACTGGGATCATAAGGTTTGATTTACCACAGTGTTTGGCAGTGGTTAAAAACAGAAATATAGACATCAAACCACAAAAGCTAAATACTTATAAAAATTTTTTGTAAAACAACAAGTAATAGAAAGAGAGATAACAATAATCAATCAATGATATGGGGGAAATATGTTGTTACAGTGGAAGTTATACCTGCTTTCAGTCAATAACTTTGCTGAAATCCCTCAAATTGATAAAGCATGTGGTGACAATGGAAAGGAAAACCCCATTTTAACAGGACGATACCCTCTAGCAGAACCGGGTTCAGCAAAGAGACCGACATCTGCTGGAACTGAGTGTTGGTTACAGCAGACAGAGCAGAATAAACAAAAAACACTAAGAGCAAACTTAGGGGTACTTTTTATTTCAAATGAAAAGCTAATGGCAGCAGTGCTTCCTTTATTGATTCAATCTAAATTAGGAACATTTAGTTTAGTTGATGAAAATCTGACTGCATCATTGACACAGTGACAGCAATAGATTATTTAATAGTTGTACGTAGAAAAGACAAATATCAAGTAACATGAAGTTATTGCCACCATTGGCAGAGGTTATGCCCAATTTTCCTGAAGGTTTCATAGATAAGCAGAAACAGCTTTTACTTTTGTGAGGAAAAAATCTAAAAGGAATCCTAGTGAATGAAATATGTAACAGCAGCTAATTCATAATTGGAGTAGTAAGGGAGAATAGGAAAGGGACAGAGGTGATGGGTATCTTTTCCAGCAGTATGAGCCTATAGCAGCACTATTACAGGGATAGCTCAGGATAAAGGTCCTAAAAGTAGACAGGGTGTCTGTCTGACTGACTAAATCTAGAAGTTGATTCCGCAGGAAATGAACCTGACGACCAAAATATCTACAGTTCTACTTTTAGATAATCTAGGAAGAAATCTAGAAGCAAACAGCTCAGTTAGGAACATAAGGAACGATCTAATCTCTGATGGACCACAGGGTTTGAGCATTAGGGGCTTTATATGTGCAAAGGATCATTTAAAATTCTATCATGGATTTAACTGGGAGTCATAAAGGGAAGTTTAAATTGCAAAAATTTTGATCTCATGCTTTACTTGATCAGAAAGCTTGCTGCATCTATGTAGATAAGATGATGGTGTTAAATGAAATTAAAAGCTAGATTATGTGTAAGCCAAACGTTTCTGCTTGAAAGATAAATAATTCAGGCCTATATTTTTTTCTTTGCATAGAGAAAAAAAAATCTTATGTACTTCACTTGTAATCAGATACATTGTACAGGGTTTAAGCTCACTTTGTTAAATAGGATATTATAATATGACTGGTGTTTAAAATGATGAGAGACTCTGCTCCTGTTTTAGCCTGGCCAGCATGGCTCCTCTGCTGGCCTGCCGCGTGTTGCCCAGCGTTGAGGTGACCATGGGCCATGAGCGGGATGAAAAAACCAACTGGGGAAACTGGCCTCAAACCAACATGGTGGAGGCTGTGAAGAGCATGGGTGCTCGCCATGTTGTCCGTGAGCCATACATATCCTTCCAAAGCTTCTCTCATGATGAATTCATTATAAAGCCTGTTCATCTTTATTTATAACTCCACTGCTGCCTTGACCTTAACCTTTCCTTTCACGAAGCCCATGTGGATGAGAAGAATAAAGTGGTCAGCACTCCATCCTTCATGTGGGAGACAGATTACCACTACCACTATATATTTGATGGTATTGGAAATATGGTCAAACATGTGATGCGTTTGTCCTCCAAGTAAAGGTTGTCATGAATGTTCAGCATTCACCTCTATACTGTGATGAAATCTCACCTAAATATAATAAAGATGCACTAGATAAAATGCAAATTGAGTATTTTGTGTTAACATTTATTTTAGGAAAACGTGTGCTTACCGTCGAATAAATATTACAACAATTTTCCTTTTTTTTTTTTCCTTTTCCAGCGTTTTATCATTACACCGTAACCAGTGCAGAGCAACGAAATGAACTCTCTGCATTTAACCTATCCCCCTATGGAGCAGTGGGATGCCATTGTGCGGCTACTGGCGAGCAGTGTGGGGTTAAGGGTATTTGCTTAGGAACTCAGAGTGTCAGTCTGTGGGAGTGGGGCCTGAACTTAGTACCTCTGGAATCCAAGCGCACTGCCCTAACCACTAGGCCGCCACTCCCCCAACAATTGAAACAACTGAAACTCCTATGTGATCACTCTATTTAAAATAATGATGTATTTCAAGTGTATATTTCTATTAAGCTAAAGCTTAAAGCTGATGTTAACTTCATTTTCAGGTAGGAAAGCAGAGGGCATTTAATGATGGTTGAAACCTGTGCACTGTACAGTGGACACAGTGACTTAGACAAATTTTATTGTTGATGTGCCTGCAGTGCTGCTCAGGTGTGAAGGAAACCCAGATTAGTCCAGATTGGTACAGATAAGTGCGCTGACCAATCATTAAGCCAGATACAGTGGGCACTGGTTGGAAATGGACGGTTTCCTGCGTGATTCCTGTGTGATTCCTGCGTGAATCACGATGTATTTCCTGAGGCCAGTATTTTTTTTTTT